ACACAGTTTGAGAGGCCTCAGCACAGAGGTGGTGAAAACCCTGGGCCACGGAGTCATGGAGAGGATGAGTGACAGGGTGGCCATAAACTGGGCCTGGACCCTCTGTACCCAGCTCAGGAAAGGGGCTCCTTCAGTACTTCTACTCCGTAGATTGGAGGCTGCGGTGGGGCAGGAGTGACAAGAGACAATGCTGTCCGGTCTGGGTCCCTGTAGCACATCTCAGCACCCAGTGGGTGCTCTGTATGTTTTGGATTAAATAAAGCCAGGATGTGAGCTAGCTTTGTATTAATTCCATTTACCATCTCAGCTTCATTTTTATTGGCCCAGGCCCAATGGGAGGCCTTTTCATGAGAGCACTTAATTATTCCCCAGTGTAGACCACAGAGAGCAGGAGGAGCTGGGGCTGGGCAGATGCTGCTCTCACAAACTCAGGTCTCTGCAGGCTGGGTAGATTCCCTTTTAATTGATTGCGATTGATAGGGACAGGGTTCCTTTAGGCTAGGTAGTCAGGCAGTTCATTAGACCTGAGACCAGGGTGCTGAGAAGGAGGCATTTGTGCCAAGATCTGGGAGAAGCTCATTCTGGGGGCATCGATGGGCTATAAAAGCTTGGGGTAGGGACGCGAGTCTGAGCAGCCAAGCAAGGCTGGGTGATTTGAAAGGGGTGGCACGGAATGAGGTTGACGGGCCGAGGAGGAGGGTTGTGAGGGTCGTGGGGAGGAGTTGGAATACCTCTCTGAGCAGGTGAAGCCGTTGTGGAGGTTTCACTGGCAGGGAGAGCTGAGGTGGTTAGGAGGGTGGTTAGAGATGTGGCCACAGCAGGCTGAAGCTGGGCGATGCTGCACAGATGGAGCTGATGGGATGTGCTGCTGGAGTCAATGTGGGGAAGTGATGTCCTGTCTCAGCTTCATCAGCTGGTGGCCTTCCAGGTCAGCCACTGTGCTAGGACCCCAGTGCATTGTCCCTCGAACTGTGTTAACAGCCTGCAGCTGCTGTGTAGCCTTCTCCCTGGCTGGTGGGCTTTCCATGCGTCTCAGTTGCTTCCCTGGGCCCTTCCTCCCTCTTCTGTTTCCAGTATTATGGCGGAACAGGATGTGGAAAACGAGCTTCTGGATTATGAGGAAGATGAAGAGCCCCAGGCTCCTACAGAGAGCACCCCAGTGCCCCCCAAGAAAGATGTCAAGGGGTCCTACGTTTCCATCCACAGCTCTGGCTTCCGGGACTTTCTGCTGAAGCCTGAGCTCCTGAGGGCCATAGTGGACTGTGGCTTTGAGCATCCGTCTGAGGGTACGCCTCCCTGTTCCTTCGCTCCCCACACCACCCCCCTCCACTGACCCCTCCGCCCACACAGAGGGGGAATCCAACTTCCAATCACTCGTGGGCTCTTTTTCCTTCAGTTCAGCACGAGTGTATTCCCCAAGCCATCCTGGGCATGGATGTCCTGTGCCAGGCCAAGTCTGGAATGGGCAAGACTGCAGTCTTCGTGCTGGCCACCTTACAGCAGATCGAGCCCGTCAATGGACAGGTGGGCGCGTCCTCCCTCCCAGGCCTAAGTTATGTAAAGTAGCATAGACCACGACTCCTGGTGTTAAAGATTCCTGTTTCCACATTTTTTTTTGCGGGCTTTTAAAATGAATTACAGTACTTAGTTTTACAAAATCCCCCCAAAAATAATAAGCCAGGAAAAAAGCTGGAAAGTGCCCACAGTTTTACCATCCAGAGACATGGTTGTTGTTTTGTGTGTACTTTCTAAATTGTCCCTACAGTATTTCTGAAGGGGGTTCCACTGCGCACAGCTTTGTTACTGCTGTGGTTGCTGACAGGCCTTAGCTGTCTTCTCATGCCATGACAATCGTGTTCCACTCTCTTGGGGGATAATCGAGGTGAATACCAGTGTTCTGTTTTTGTCATGTTGGGGCAACATCCATGTGCTGCTGCATGTGGGTACACGAGCCTTTGTTTCCTTAGGGTACATGGTGAAGGAGGGAGTTTGAGTGGGAGGTCGTGATGTGGTTGCAGAAGACCCCAGTGTAGCTAGAGAGTAGACTCAGCACGGGGCTTGTCCCTGGCTAAAGAGCCAGTGTGGGGTCTAGCTGGGGGGGATTTAGGGTACTGCCTTGAGTGAGTCTCTCTTGCCTACCCAACAGGTGACCGTCTTGGTCATGTGCCACACTCGGGAGCTGGCCTTTCAGATCAGCAAGGAGTATGAGCGCTTCTCCAAGTACATGCCCAGTGTCAAGGTGAGCCCCTCTGAGCCGGGCCTGGCGCCATATGGTCCTCTACAGCCTGGCTGGCCTCAGCTCTGGCCCAGCCAGCATTTACCAAGCTTGGCTGCAGCAGCTGCCTTTGAGGTTTGCGGTGGTTTATGCTCCTTAAAAGCCTGATGAATTATGCATGGCCCCCAGAGGCCAGCGCAGGTCCCAGCCCTGGGCTGCTTTTCGGTGGAGCTGTGCCCAGGCTCTCAGGCCTGTCTAGGCTTGGGGAATTGAGGTCTGCTGCGGCCTGAGTTGGCAGGGCCATGGGCTGGGTGGCTGACAGCATGGAGTAGGGTGCGAGGCTTCAGCCCTTGGATGGGCAAAAGTGACTTTATATGCCCAGTGTCAAGGTGTCCGTGTTCTTCGGGGGTCTCTCCATCAAGAAGGACGAAGAGGTGCTGAAGAAGAACTGTCCCCACGTCGTGGTGGGGACGCCAGGCCGCATCTTGGCACTGGTGCGGAACAGGAGCCTCAACCTGAGAAACGTGAAGCACTTCGTGCTGGACGAGTGTGACAAGATGCTGGAGCAGCTGGGTGAGTGTCCTTGTGGGTCTGTGGGGCTGCCAGAGACCCAGCCAGCCGAACCTGCGCCCTCACAGCCTTCCAGACTTCAGAGCCAGGTGGACCCTGACAGGCCAGGGTGAGGGATTTCCCAAAGTGGGGTCACGTGGGTGGCCGGCATGTCTCCTGTAGCAGTTTAGGGCGAGTTCTTACTTTGACCTAATGTGACCTGCTACTTCTGACCCTACGCTGAGTGGGACCACAGGGCCTAAATGAGCCACCGTCCGACACATAAATGTTAGCCTGAGGCTTGCCATAGCCTCCTCTCCTGCCGGGTTAGCTCTAGATCCCCTGCCTGCCTTCAGTGAGCCCTGACGGGGCCAGTCAGAGATGGGGCTTGTGTCCTGGGAGGTAGCTGCAGCTCTCACCCCAGCGGCTGTCTCTGCCTCAGGCTCCCTTCCCTGAAGCATGGCTGGAGGTGCTCTGGCACGGCTGCTCCACTCTGGCAGCGTGTAAGTGTATTGCAGCTCCTCCTGGGCCTGCGCTCACCCCAAGACCAGCCCCGCAGGCATTGGGGTCTCACCCCTCCCTCCACTCCTTGCTCACACCACCCTCATCTTGGTGCCAGGTTGGGAGGGGCTGGGACTGGTCTCAGGTGGGGGTCTAGGTCTGGCAGGCACTCATGCCCACCTGTTTCTTGCCCTCCCCACCCAGACATGCGGCGGGACGTACAGGAGATCTTCCGCCTGACGCCCCGCGGGAAGCAGTGCATGATGTTCAGTGCCACCCTGAGCAAGGAGATCCGGCCCGTCTGCAGGAAGTTCATGCAAGATGTGAGTAAGCCAAGACCTCAGTGCAGCAGCCTTGGCCCTCCTGGGTCCTGAGGCCCAAGCTGCTGCTGCGGCACGTCGCCCATGCTGCCCTCACAGCACAGCAATGCTGGGAGGCTCGTGGAGCCCTTCTTCCCTCCTCGCTGTCTTGTCGGATTGGGAGCTGAGCTTGGTCCACACCTGAATCAGACCAGAGCTTAGATCCAGCTGTTGGGAGAGAAATGTGCACTGGGTACAGCAGCCTCTCTGGGAAGCATCGCAGCGTGGAGTCGTTCCTGGAAGGTTCTGGGCAGGCAGGGTGCCCAGAAGTAAGCCCTGCCCGCCCCTTCCTGCTCCCCTCCCCTCAGCCTATGGAGGTGTTTGTGGACGACGAGACCAAGCTCACGCTGCATGGGCTGCAGCAGTACTATGTCAAGCTCAAAGACAGCGAAAAGAACCGTAAACTCTTCGACCTTCTGGACGTGCTAGAGTTTAACCAGGTGACACTGCCGTTGCCCTTTGCGGGGTTCTAGGCCTTTGGAAGGACAGTGCATGGGGACCGTGGCCCTGACTCTGCTGCCTTCCTCCGGCAGGTGGTGATCTTCGTGAAGTCGGTGTAACGCTGCATGGCCCTGGCCCAGCTGCTCGTGGAACAGAACTTCCCGGCCATCGCCATCCACAGGGGCATGGCCCAGGAGGAGCGGTGAGTGTGTGCCACCACGAAGGCCTGGGGGTGGGGCCCTCAGCGGGAGTGCTGCTCAGGAACCTTGAACCTGATGCCTGCCTTTTGCTCTCCTGCACCCAGCCTGTCCCGCTATCAGCAGTTCAAGGACTTTCAGCGGCGGATCCTGGTGGCCACCAATCTGTTTGGTCGAGGGATGGACATCGAGCGAGTCAACATCGTCTTCAATTATGACATGCCTGAGGACTCGGACACCTACCTCCACCGGGTGAGTGGCCCCACAGAGGTGGCACCTCCCTGAGCGCCCCTTCCTGGGGTGGGGACCAGGCCCGGCTTGTCCTCAGATCCCCAGGTTGTGCCTCTGCCTGACCTGAGTTCCTGTCTCTCCCTGCAGGTGGCCCGTGCCGGTCGCTTTGGCACCAAAGGCCTGGCTATCACTTTTGTGTCGGATGAGAATGATGCCAAAATCCTCAATGATGTTCAGGATAGGTTTGAAGTAAACGTGGCAGAGCTTCCTGAAGAAATTGACATCTCCACATACAGTAAGTGGCTCGGGCAAGAGGGTTGTGCTGGGCCCCGGGAGCCCCTCCTCCTCTCTCACTGGCCTCCGCCCATTCTGTCTTACAGTTGAGCAGAGCCGATAACCACACACCTGACATCCCGGAGCCACCCTGCTTCCCACGTGCTGCTTCAAGTCCTCTTTCTAGGCGACCGTGGGGCTTTCTTTTTACTGTTCAAACACTGTAGATTTGTGTAAGAATACATTTTTATTATGGAAGCCTGGCCCCCGCCCATTTGTTTCTTACTGGTCTCTTCACATTTCACAGACATGTGAGATTAAATTTTAAATGTCAACATTGAAAACTTTATACAGATTTTAAAAACAACAACACATTACACAACATCCACGACCTTCAAAACATTGAGAACCCTCTGTCCGGGAGGCAGACTGGCCTCTGTACCGTGAGTCGCAGGGCCTGAAGGGGCCCTGCCTTTCTCCCATCCTTGAGCTTAGTCTTAGCTTAACAGGAAAGTAGAACCCCAGCACGCTGGTCTCTTGTTATGTAGCAAAGTCAGATGATTGGGCGGCCAGGAGCCTTGTCTGTCTGGGTGTTGGTACCAGGGCAAGGGGCTGCAGCCCTGTCCGGCTCCTGCCCACCCTGGGTGCCAGCTGGGGTGCAGCAGAGGCAGCCAGAAGCAGGTCCATCAGGTCCGACTCCACTCTGTGTTCCTGGGTTTGGCGCCAGAGAACAACTGTTGATGTCCCTTCTCTGGGGACAGGAGAGTAGAGGGATCAAGGTGGTGAGAGAGGAGGGGACAGTCTTCAGTATGTGCAAAAGCTGCTGAGGCCACAGGAGCTGCTGGCCTGGCCAGAACCTCGCAGTCACATGCCAGACTCCGACGGCCTGAGGGCCTGGAGAGAGACGAACCTGGTAAGGACTGATTCCGGCCCAAGTCTGCCTGCTGGCCCTGCACCCCCACACCAGGGTTGGCCCTTACCCTAGTCTGGTTTTGGCTGGTGCTGGCTGTCGACGTGCCAAAGTCCGAGTACTTATTCCCAGTGACCATGCAGGCCCACTTCCGGTACTCCTCCCTCACCTGCAAGACCCAAGGTGCCAGGTCAGGGGAGGCAGCCTCAAAAGTAGGGGAAGGGGAGAGGACCCCCACAGCTGACCCATGGCCCACCTTTTTGTTGAGCAGGCAGTGCAGCAGGAAGAGGAAGAAGCCCTGCAAGCAGTTGAGGATGGTGAAGGCATAGGCCAGCACCTGGCTCCTCGGGTCGAAGAGGAACAGGCCGAAGACCCACGTGCAGCCCAACACCAAGAGCTGTGCGATGGCCGTGATGGTCAGCACCCTGGGGGAGAAGGGCAGCTGTAGCAGGGGACACCCCACGCGTCCCCCCTCTCCCTGGCGGCCCCTGCCCTCACCTGGCCTTCTTTAATTTCTTCATGTCTGGGTTGATCTCAGAGAACTTCTGAGTGAGCTTCCAGACAGTTACCACGAAGATGACAGCATTGCACTGGGCGGGGAGCAGAGAGTTTGGATTAGGGTTTTGTCCTTGGAACTCAGGGAGAGAGCTGGCCTGTTGGACTCAGTGAGGAGCCAGGTGACACAGGCCTTAAGGGTGGAGCGAGGGGGATTACTTACCAAAATGATGAATGTCACAGGTCCCAGGAAACTCCAGAGGAAGCCGTGCTTGCGGTCCAGCCAGCAGCTGGATGAGAAGAAAGGGGTCTGGTCAGGAGCCTGAGGGGATTGGGGTGCCGAGGTTGTGGCCCCACACCCCTGGCCAGACCCCAGCCCTCCTGTGGCCTCACCACTCCCCACTCACTAGATACCGCGGCCATAGCCCTCGGGCCTGGCGGCCGCTGAGATGGCCACAATGAGGAAGGGAACGCCGTAGCCGATCAGGTAGAGCCAGCGCTTGCTCAGGCCCTGACCCTGGAACACACGCACCACGAGGAAGTAGAGCTCCAGGCCTTCTAGGCTCATCCAGCAGAAGGCAGCCAGGAAGCAGTAGTGCAGCAGCCCGGCCACCAGGCGGCAGCGCAGCCCCACCTGCGGGGTGGGGGCGGGGCAACTTCAGCGCATTCCCGGCGGAGCACTTGTGGTGG